CCACCAGGTCAGTCTCCACCCATCTATCAATTTTTTGTTCCACTACTAAAAGACTAAGGCTTATACTTCTTTGGATGTGTAGTACAATAGTGGTGGGGGTGTTTATTTATATTTGTGTATTTTATTGTCAATGGCGATTTTTGGGTAAAACAAGCCTTAAATAGTGTTGATGATGAATCTTAGTGTAGGGATAACTATCGATTCTGAATTTTGGAATGGATAGTAAAAAAATTTCAGTTTACATAAATATGTAATTCGAAATGCTAGAAAGATGATAATGAAAATTTGGTATAACAATATTATTTGTGCTTCCTTCTCTCCTACCCTAAGAAAATTTTCTTATTATTATTTTTTTAAAGTTTTTAGGTTTGTATGTTCTTAGGGTTGTGTGATATTTGTTAATGTCATTTGGATATTAATTTTATATATACACTAATCAAGTTTGTCAAAACCTAACCCTTCATGTAGGGGTGTAAACTTGGTTTGTCGGCTTGGACGGCCTGTTGCTCGACTTGGCTCACGGCTCGGTAAAATTGAGCTGAGGCTCGGGCTGAGCCCCATTTTGGGACATTGTCTCAAGCCAGCCTGTTTGTTAGCAAGCAGACATAGGCAACGTGTACACGCTGCCTATTATTATAAAAAAAATCGTAGGTTGGTTCGACTCTGCTCAACTCGAGCCTAGAAAAGCTCGAACCATTTTTATTCGAGCCAAGCCCAAGCCTGGAGTATTGGCTTGTGAGCTAGCACGACTCGTTGAAATCCCTACCTTCATGTCTTGGAACACCAAATTAGATTGCAAATGTAAATGTCATTCTTGACAGTTATGAAATCATTTGCTAAAATGAAATGTTGTTCTCGACAGTTATTCTTGATTATATGATTTAGCTCTTATTTATGTTTTTTGTAGTGCTTATCATAATAATTTACAATCCAGGCAAATGCTCTATATCAATGGATAGCTAGTCCTATTCAACCACAAATCTCTTTTACAAAATCTCTTTTACAATATAAGTTATTGGCTTTTCTACTTCACGTGTTAAGCTAACCATTATTTTGTTGTTTACAATATTTGGCATTTGATTTGTCCCTATCACCATTGTTGGGGGAAAACATTTAGTTTTGAGAACTTCTTACACATCAAATTGTATGCTATATGTCTACAACATGTTTTTTTTTTATCATTTGCCTTTACTTACTTCCTTATCAAAAGTTAATTGCTTTAATGTTATTGAGATTATGGTTTCAAACGCTTGTGTTGTGTACGTGCATGTGTGATCCTTTATCTCTCTCATTATAGAAACTGAGAAATTGGACTTTGTGCGGTTATTTACTACGCGAAAATAGACACTTTTAATTATGGACTAGAACTAGAAAATAGGCACGTTTAATTACCAATAATTCATATATAACACAAGTAAACATAAATATCTTTCAAGCGAATTGTTTAATTTGTTAAAATGAAAGTCTCAACAATTATGAATTCTCCACAGATTATGCGATTCATCTGTTGAGATAAATTTTCGTTCTTGACAGTTAGTTTCAATTATTCTTGAAAGATGAATAAATCTCGACATTTCAATTGAGGCATCTTTCGATATGAACTATCGAGAACGACAATTAAAGTCAGTACTTCTCGATAGAACAATTTTGCAATCATCTGTTGACATGTCCAAATTTGGTTCATCTGAACATTATATATGTGTTTTACATTACATGTAGAAATTATTATAATTTAACATTTTTTGCTTTCTTATTGTACTTTGTTCTTGTAGAAGAATTTTGAATTCCTAGTTCACTCAAAGGAGTAATTTCGAGTTCATAAAAATCGTATTGGAGAATTTTGATGATTGACACGGGAAAATTTCAGTAACTTATGCCTTGGGTTCCTGGTTAAGTTACTTGACATACAATTATCGGCCTAATTGATCGAATAACTAGTATTCAGATCTATTAAAACTGATAAGGCAAAGGAATTGTGGTTCAATGTACAAAGGCACCTGATAAGGTTCGGATTGCAAGAGTTTGCGATCTTGATGGGATTAAAATGTGGCATCTCCCTAGAAGGCGATGAGTTTACTAAAGTCATAGAAAAAATGAGACTAAAGGACAAATACTTCAAATCCATGGACAAGATTTCATGTGCTCAATTGGAAAATGCTTTTTTTTTTCAATCATTGACGCCTTGAGCTGATCGATACAAGCTCAACCTTGCTTTAATTATCGAAGGAGTATTCAATGCTCTGAATAATAATGTAGGTATCAATATCGACACATTGTCCATTGTCATAACTTGAACATATTATTTTTTACTACCTTTGGGGTAAAACGGGGTACAATCATCTATTAAGGGGATCTAGGGGTGGTTGGGAAAGAAAGTTTCATGAGACTAAGGCAAAGAAGGAGAAGGACATCAGTTATACAATTCATAGATTTCCCATTGCCGGTATGAATAATTTTTGCTGAAAATGTGTTCATTATTTTAATGCAAATATGTTGTCATGTGCATGAAAACTCTTATAAAAATTATATATTTTTTTGGATAGATTTGGACATTTGAGACGGTTCTTGGAATTGGTAAGGTTGGGTGAGAGACTTGGTAATTGATCCCCAAGACTTCTTAGCTGGACATCTAGAAAAGAACTACAACAATGTATGTATGAGGCATTCTTCAATTTTGGTATATTGAATTTAGTCAATTTTTCAATTTGGAAATTGTATAAAATACATTTCCATGGATCCTTAATTTCTGTTTTCATAGCTATACATGTATGCGACTCTTCGTCCCATTGATGAGGAGTGTGATCAATCACATATCTCCACTATTGTGCCTTTTCAAGATACTCCTATGTTTGAGTTGGACATTGCAAGGAATATGGTCGATCCACAGTTTCACTCCGAGCAAGTCGGTAGTGAAGAAAATTATAGATTGTATACGGGAGAAGTTGATGAAGAAGAGATTGCCAAATGAGGCTCGAAGGATGAGACGTCCGATGGTGATGACCATTCGGGGAGATAAGAGTGAGCATAACGACTCAAGTGATTGTGATAGTGGAGATGGCAAAGGTGAACATATGCTTGGAGGGCATACATGTGCATTTTCCACACTCGCACGGCCATGAATTCATTTCACGTGCATACACCATCGACATCCCGACTACAAGCTTTAACC